TCAGATGAAACGCCAAAAAAGAGACGGTGTGACTTCTGTCCGCGTAATTCAGACAGAAAATCGAACTATTTTTGTGTCAATTGCAAAAAAACAATTTGTTTGGAACACTCAAATTTTATGTGCAATAATTGCAAAGATGAAGAAAATGTCTAATGTTGATTGTTCCTATATACCTATTAATGATTATTATTTTTTTGCTTGTTAGGTCTCAACTTGATTTTTATTTACTTCAAGTATGAATTGAAACTAACTTTTTCTGTTTCAATATAACATCTTCTAGTGAATTACAAGTTTTTTTACCCCTTCAAAACATTTTCGACATACATTTTCATTTTACCGCTTCAAAATTGACTGGGGTCCAATTGGGTCCACCAGACTAATATTGACCGCTCGATTCACCAGACTTCCGGAAGGTTTGATTAATCGCCCTATCGAACTCGGCGAATTCCCTGATAAACTGAAAATTGGTCGCCTCTAACCAACTTTGAAATATGAAGACCCCAGCATCATGGAAAACTACCGACCCATAACAGTACCCACGGTATTGTGTAAGGTGTTTGAGAAATATGTGTATAATAAGATGTTTAATTTTCTGGACAAGTTCAACATAATAACCAGGTTTCAACACGGTTTTTGGCAGGGTAAGTCGACTGAAAGTGCTTCAAACGAGTTTTTTCATTTTGTCTATGATGTTGATGTCTATAATATTGATTAAAAAAGTACGTGGGTGCTCTTATTTTCGACCTGTCCTAGGCATTTGATATCATCAATCATGATATAATCCTGAGTAAGTTATTCTCGCTAGGATTTAGAGGAAATGTACTTTCATGGCTGGAGTCATATTTGACTCTCAGAAAGATGTGCGTGAAATATGATGACTGCCAATCACAATCATAGAGTAATTAATATGAAGTCCCTCAGGGATCCCTTTTGGGACCTCTGATGTTCTTACTTTTCATCAATGATTTGCCAAAACATGTGTATACAAAGCGAATAATTTTATATGCAGACGACACAACACTTGCTGCAGATACTGAAAGCCCAGAGGAACTCCAAGTTGAACTCAATGAGATGTCTCTCGCATTTACAGATTGGTGCCGCAAACACTCCTTGATTGTAAGCCCCAGTAAAATTATTTTACTGGCATACTCAAACAGTTTGAGGAGTGCCAGATGATGACAGTACTACCAACTGTCGAAAGCGCTCGCAGATAATTAATAGAAGATATAAAGCTTCAAATCCTTTTTGTAGAATTTAATAGTGAAATACTCAAAATATTTTTTGTTTTCAGAAACTGTAACAATTGCCGATTTTCAGTTGGTAACGGCGACCATGTGTCTCGAAGCTATCAACTTCGACATAAGCCCTTGGCCTCTAGTTGAAAACTGGTATGACACATACAAATTGGAACATCCAACTTTATGGAAAATTGTTGAAGGAGGTATGAAAGAACTTGAAGCTTTTGAGAAAAATCCTCCAGATTTGAGTCATATGGACCATCCCATCCATCCAGTGAGGAAATAGCAAAACAGAAATCACTTTTTTTAAATATATTGCTTGGTATCTGAAAGAGAGTCACATATATTGGAGTCATGTTTGAACAGATTGAAAAGAGTTAATGAAAAGTTATTTATCAAGTAATGTGAATTATCACAATGAGTTGAATAAATCTTTTTTTCTTCTCTACGAAATGTTATCCTTCTCATTTTCTTCGTTTACATTTTATCGTAATATCATCATCTTGAGTTAATTTCATTTGGAGCAAATTTGGAATTGGAATTCAAATTTGACTGAAAAGAAAACAGAGCGATGTTATTATTTTGAACACATATTTATAATAATTCCTGAAGAAGTTCACAATTTATTTGAAAAGGAAATGAGTTTATTTTGTTCGATGTTACTGAAAAGGCCATCACAATCAATTCAGAGTTTGTGTAAAAGTAAGCCTTCAAGTATTTTCATTCTGGAGATGTACGCCTCATGAAATATTGTTCAAACTTGTGAATTTTCATTTTGTCTTAGCACAATTCAGTTCAGCCCTTAACTGAGAGATGTCGGAACTGAACCAATTATTCGTATAGAGTATAGATAGAGAAGAATAATAATTTTGATGTAACAATCATGAAAGTGAGATAGGCAATAAGAGTTGTGAGATAATTTACTTGCATATCTCTATATCGATGAATTTTTCAATATTCATGACTAATGTGGATGTATGTTCATAGTACTTTTGTTATTTTGTTTCGTACCAGCTAACACACATCATGTTTATATCGATAAAATATGCACAAAACATATATCTCTTTCATCTCGTAAAAATGTATGGAACTACTTCATACTATTCAAATCTGATGGAATTCTTGACTTCAGAAAATGCATCGTTTTTATGAATCATTTTTGAAAGAAAAGCGTTGCGTTTATCAGTCAGAAATTATCCATCAAATTCAATATGGAGGAACAAAGGAATGAAACTCAAAAATTCCTACCGTATCCATTCTACCATTAAGTTAAGAAAATTTATTGAGTGCCCTGAAAAGTAGGCTGTCATGACGTACGTCACAAAATGTGTCGAATAGTTAAAACCGCCCCAGTTTGACAATGGGATTCCCTCGAAAGTATCTAGTTATACTTTAGAAAAAATTGTGGTGGTATCCAGGAACGAAAGTTGATGCTGTTCCATATAGCCACCCTGTTGATTATTAGGTAACGGTTGGCTCCTATGATTCACGAAGCTGGATCTTTCTATATTTCAAAGGTGGCACCGTGCTTTTCCAATATAAACACTTTGGTGTCCTCTAAAATGGTTTCATAACCTTAACAATGATCGCTGCAGTCAAGTGAATCAGAATTATACGCATTTCAGAAACCGCAGTCGTTTATGTGAAACTTTGTCAGTTTTTTGTATCAATCCACACAGTGAAGACCACCCGTAAACGTCCATGTTGATGGTATTATATCTGCACGACTGTGAAAGTTCGTACATCGTTTGAAGCAGATGATTTTGAATGATCGCGGCAATTCCTTCCAACTGTCATTCTGTCTAACTGACGACTGAACTACTCTTTTCAAGGACCAACACCGCTGTTACCACTAGCACTACTCAATAGTGACTCATGCTGACTGACAAGTCGATGCAGCCAACAGTGTTGCCAACTGTTAAAGTTGCCAACTATAAAGTTGCTAGACATGAACCAAAATTCCGCTACACTGCTTCATATTCTGTTACGCTTGGGTATATGACACAAATCAGTTTGCGCATACGCCCTATACAGAGTTATATACCACATAACTTATAGTATGTGTACCGTTCAGATACATAAAACTGGAACTGTCAGGAATCAGGATCATGCTTACTTTCAATCGCGCAACTCAGTAGATGGCACCAAGTTTTCTAAATTCACAGCAGTTGATTTTTGAAAGCTGTCAAAATCAATAAAACTAAATAAACATCACATCACACTTTCATTATGATTAGGTACTTATAAGATATCATTTGTTTTATATTATAAGAGGAACTAAATATCAATTTGTTCACGTACTTAGTCAGACTAGAACTTTCTTCCATTTCCACTGTAATTTGTTCCATATAATTTATAATACTCAAGACTTCTAGTTTCAAGATATTGGAGATTATATGAATGACAATATTCAAATATCTCCTTCTTCTCTTTCATCATGTAATGGCCTCAGCAACTAAGACTATGACGTATTGACTGTGCATTCAATTGTCGGCTGTCAGCTTCGAGTGCTGTCCACTGCCTCTTCTTCTTCCATATTTTTTTCGATATTGATCATTTGTAGAAAATTCCGTTCCTTTATGTTCAAATCCGCTACGCCGCTACCGTCGAGTAAATTGCGCTACGGTAGCGGAATTCCACCACGGTTGGCAACACTGGCAGCCAAGTCTAGCTGAACTCTCTCAGACCAATCACTATGTCTTCCGGTTATTTTATTGTTATTTTCGTTGGTTAGATTGCTATTTTCGAGCTTGCAGTCAATGGGGTTGGTCATTTGTACTGCAGTAATCTTGAATAGCACCGCTGTCCAGTTTGGAGTATAGGCTCGAAAAATTATTTCACTTTCGAAGTTATCAGCGTTTGGGATTCGGTTGAACGTGCAAAATTTATAAATTCATGTGCGTACAAAAGAACGCAT